GCTACATAAAAATCTTTTACCCAGAAAAACTTAAATCCCTGGGGCTTCATGAAGAAATAATTGCTCTTACAGCACAAATGCACAGGCAGACTCATAAAAACGTCACAAGTATTTAATTTTCTCCATGTCTGTTTGTTCATGTGTACTTTATTTCTCATGGGTTTTTAAGTACAAACATAATACAGTGGGAAATGGTGGTAAGCAGTTTCCCAGCAGATTTAAGGTCTTACTCACTTTAACATTTGAAGAAGTATAACTAATAGGCTGCAGAAGATACTGAGGAAAAAAAAATTATTTTCTCTCTGAGTCATTAACTCACCCCAGAGGTGGTGATCTTGTTCAAGAGGTAAGTGAAGGGGACTGGGATGGGAGAACCATCTTTAGATGCTTCACTGTGTTCATGTAGGAAACCCTCCACAGGTAGGTACTGCGTGCTTTCTACTCTGAATAGTTTCAGCAATTTACTCCATGAAGAGCAGAGAGGAAAGGTCACATCAGTTGGTCTGGGGAGCTGGAGAGGAGTCACAGAATCCAATGCTGAGATGGAACCTGACATGAGCTCTTCCCAACTCATTTCCAGTCTCATTAGTTGTGAGAGAACATGTGAGTCTGCCTGGCCCCAGAAGCTCTGCTTTCAGGCTTTCATATTTCAGCCACTCTTCAAGCTTATTGGGTAGTAATAGTAAAACCTGGGAGGACTACAAAGTCAACAAAATCTCAATCATTCACAGCAGGCTGTGTGTGTGTTTAGAAATCAATAAGCTGATTCTAAAATTTATATGAAAATGCAAAATTCAGAACCTGAAATACACAAAGCAATCTTGAAAAAAACATTTTGGAAGAATTACAATTTGGGGGAAATGAGGACAAAGAGCATTCATTCAACTATAAAGTAATGCAATTTTTAAAAATTACCTTGGATGGGACATTTTCAACAGAGAGAAGTAAGGGACACAGGGCATCACTATACGGTACTCCAACCTATAAGGATTTCTGAATCTCGGTTACAGTGGGTGAATGGGTTAAAAGTAGCTAAAATATACGCAAACATTTTCTAGACAAGGTGACTCAAAGCAAAACAGACTAATTAAAGGGCTTAACAGTTTTCCTGTGCCACCAAGAAGGAAGCCCAGTAAACAATGAAATCATATAAATTAATTCAAGCCATGGTCTCAAACTGGTAAAGTGGCACCAAAACAGCAGCATCTAAATGACACACTTTGTGCCCAAACTTTGAAGACCTGGACTGCTGACCTCTCTGAAGTTCCCTTTCATCATCTACAAAATGGATACAACTAGAATACCTACCTATGTGGACCAAATGATGCAATGTATTACTTAGGAAAGCCTTCAATAAACTACAAATGCACCATGCCAATATGAGCTAACACTACTTTTATTTACCTCATCTACACTGATAAGAGGCTCCCAAAAAAGAGGGGCAGTCACCTTGAACAGAAGAGAAAATCGGAAAGAAACAGGCAATTCTGATTCTATAAAGATGCACTACTTACATGAGCATTGTGGGGGGAGGGGAGGGAGAGGTAAAGATAAAAGGAGAGAAAGAGAGAGAGGTTAAGACTGAACAAGTACAAGCTTCTTAAACCTCTTTCAAAATTTCAGGAGAAACAGCCAAAGGAGCAGTGGAAGAGAAGCCAGCCAAAAGCTTTCTACCCCGCGTTGCAACAGCAGCAGGCGTAGTGCAGATTCTGCCTCGCCATCTCACCAATGACAAATCCAAGTCTTTAACGTCCATCGCTAATCAAGGCAGCTAGTGTCCATCTGTCAGTCTACCAAGTGCTAACTAAATGCACCCATGTGCCCAACACTGTGCTTCAGAGAGGGGTGTGTCGGGTTCCAGTGGAGCAGGAAGGGCAGAGGAAGGGCTAGAGGCTCAGGAGCAGCAACCCCTCCTTTCCAGCCCTGTGCCTGGAGCCTCCTGTTCCCTCCAAAAACACCTAAGGTTAATCTCTCTGGTCCCTGCAGCCTAGGCAAAAACTACTTCTTGGCACCTATTAAGGGTGCTCTTCTGTTCTCCAAATACATGATAAAGATACATGATAACAAGACTTGAAGGTACAGTTAAAAGTTGTTTAATATAAAAGTTTGCAAATTTTTCATTTTATTCTAATTCCTGAGAAATGTGCGGGAAAAGGCCGCTTTTCCCACACTAAACTAAAAGGCCTACCTAACATTCATGCAGAGACATTCCAAATGGAAAATAACTCATAAGGGTTATCTGATGTCCACAAAGAGGAGGGTTTTCACTTCTCCCTGCCTCCTGCCCGAGGAAGAAGCTCCTGAGGGCCAGATCAGCCCAGTCATGGCTAAAAGAAAAGCTAAAAGAAAGTTTTATTGATAAACGTAGAAACAGGAATTTCTTACGTTCCTTCAGATACTACTCTCTACAATTTCACTGACCCACTACACCCAGTGTGGGACAAGAAGACAGGGGAGATGTGATGTCTGATGATGAAAACAGGCCAACTACAGATAAGGAATAGCCAAGAAGCCATTCCTTTTACCTGGAAAGGAAAGCAGTACTGATGTGTCTGTGAGAACTGTGTCAGAGCCCAAGATGGCTACCAACACTCTGTGGAAGGGCAGGGCAAGGTAGCTGGGGCAGCTTCAGGCTAACTGACTTCCTGCCCAGAGATGGCAGGAAGCCTTCTAGTTAATTCAGAGTTCTATACATTATGTTAGTTCAAAGTGGACATAGAGTGCAGACCTAGAGAGTAGCCTTAGAAATGTTGGAACTTATTTCATTTAAGTGCCTCTTCTATTGCTTGCAGTTAATAATCTCATAAAATTATACTTTCATGATATTTTGTCAGCATCTATGGATTTCATTATGACTATGGCATTTAATTATTGTTTTCTTCAAGAAGGAATGGAAACTCTTGCTCTCATGCTTTACAAGATGTTGGAATGTCAGATACTCTTGGCTGTTGTGTGTCTGCTGACACATTCCATTTATATTTCCCTACCATACCTATGATGCTTGACTGTAATATCAATGTGAAAATACGGGATTAGTGTCACTAGTTAATTTTCTTAACAAGCTATCAGACAATAATGCATGCCTTAATTATATTTTTAAAGCAAGTATAAATTGCAGAAATGCTTAAAATTTCCTAGAAACTGAGAAATATTAATTCCGTGAATACTAAGCAAGTGTTTCATATGGAAGCACACCTTACGTAAGCTAAAAAATGTAGCCAGAGAAGTGGCCCTTGGAGTGGAAGACTGGATTTTCGTCAGTATGTGTGGTCCTTGAAGTTGTGAAGTATCACCTGTCCCTGCAGCTGGCCCCTCAGGCAGTAGGTCTGCGGACTGTTCCCTGATTCCGTGATGCACTTCATGGTGGGGATAACAGGGCCAAGTAGAAAACACAATGCCGAAAAGTTTCTCCTGGGGATTCTGGTAAGTCTGCTTTAGTGATGAAAACCAAACACCTGCACCAAGATGTAGATTTTTTCATGAAGTGTTTTTTCTAAAATCAGGATTAATTTGCCATTTACAAGGCTTAAAAAAAAAAGTTCAGGTGAAATAGTCATTTCTAGAAAGCTACATTATTCCACATTTTGAGAGAGATGAAAACAGCTAAGGCTATTGAACAGATCTCCCCATGGAGGGTGACTGATAATATATCAAAAACACTAAGGCCTTGGTACCCAACATGGCTTCAGAGTTATTTCAAGGGTTCTTCAGGCCCTCCACTGGGCCACAAACTAGAGCTTCCTGATACTGTTCTGCTCAGACATCTCCTACAGGGGACCTTTGACGACAGGATAAAGTAAACTCCTTATGTTCTGCCTAAAGCAACAGCAAAGAGTCAAAGGAATGCCCCAAGGCACAGGGATGATGAGAACAAGGTCCGAGGAGTTGAGTCTGGGCAAGAAACTCTTGAAGCCAGACAGAGAACAACTTCTCCTGCCTGGTCTCAGCACTGTCCCTGTTGGTGTGTCTCTGTGTGTGCATCCACGCACATTCATATGTGAGATAGCTGCTGGGTAACTTCCACTCACACCGAATCGAGGATGAATTGAGTATCTGTAGATTTTGCTCCGGGGGGCGGGGGTTCCTCCTCACCACAGCCTGTCTCCTCTAATGAGCAGACACCTTCCAGCCGCTCACCTCATCCCTAAAAGCAGATCCTCACTTAGCTGAGTTCATTGCCCTAACCTGAACAAAGAAGTTTTTATTTTAATTCAGGGATATATAAAAAGGGATATTTGTATTTGTATATATATAAAGCCTTCCACTTTCTAACTACCCAACTGACTTCTCCAACTTCATCTCCCCTCTTATCATATCCCCTTGACCACTCCAATATCACGACATGTCCTAGACCTCAGTTATACTGGACTCCTCAACTCTTCCAGATAAACCAGGCCTTTGCAGAAGTTCACATACATGCCATCCCCTCTACCTGGAACATCATTACCACTCTTATTTCACCAGCAAATTCAAACTCTCTCGGTTTAGAACCAGCAAAAATGTCACCGCCTGTGTGACTTCTACCTGACTGCCCCCAACAGAATTAGTAACTTCCTTCCAAGGGCTCCCAAAACATTTTATTCATTATCTTTATTTAGCCTATCTTATTATGGAATAAAGCATAGCAACTAAGAGCCTGGGTTCTGCACAGATTGCCTGGTTCTGAATCCACTCAGTCAAAGTGTGACAGGAGCATCAAGTCAACTGGTACCCACTGGATCTATAAAAGGCTAAAGAATCCATGATGATGTTCAGAAGGGTCAGTGGGGAATTACAGCAGGATTGAGTGTTTGGGGTCTCTCCCTATCAATCTATAATCAACCTGAAACACTGCAGACTCTTTTTATAATTAACAAATTCATATAAAAGTGTTATTGATTTCTTAAATTTTTTGTCATTATGTATTTTGCCAATAACTAATACTGAAAGTATAATATGCTATACAATATTCTCCTGTGATAAAATTACTGTTCTAGGGTTTAGAATTTAGAGGCCTTGACCATCCATTGTTCCACCCTTTGGTGAGGTGAAAGCTGTTTCTGCACACCAAGGAAAGGTTTTATTAAGTTAGTAATGACAGGCATCCTCACCCCATTACCACCCAAAGGTCAGTCACAGAAGCATGGATTAACCAGAGCTGCTTTGCTCCAGGCACTCCACCAGATCCTGTGCAATGTGGGTGTCTCCTCCTGTCCTGGGCCACAAACAGTGAAGACAGGGAAAGAGTTGTGCCGAAGCCCACCTGGGGAGCTGGCCTGCAGACACAGGCCAGGTAAACAAGGTTAGCAAGTGCTGAGCAAAGACCCAAGGTCAATTACAAAGATGAGTGTAGAAGAGAACATGAAGGGTAGCTAGAGGGGAGAATAACAAGAGACAAGAGAACCTTCCAGACTGGGAGGCACTGATACAGAAGCCAGCATAACCACTACGTTCCCCTGTCCACACCAACAACACTGCCTTGAAATAAGGAGCCCGTGTAAAATACCTCACACACCCTTGACACAAAAGGTGTTCAACAAATACCAGCTCTCTTTCGTCCACTAAGCGCATTCCTTAGCATGAGAGAGAGATTTCAACAAATTTGTACCAAGCAGCTTATATGGATGGCCAAGTACTAGTTAAAAAGACAAAATACTGGTTAAATCTAGTTAAAATAATGATCTAGTTAAATAGAATCTAGTTAAAGTAACAGAAAATCTGAAGAAAACAAACACAGGAAATAGGCAGAAAACTGACCACTAAGAGCTTTGCTCTACACAAGTTCTTCCTCTTTTGAATAAGTAGCTGTCTCCATGTTAACAGTCACAACTAAGAAAATTCTAAGGGAAACAAATTTCTCAAATGTCTTTGATGGGAGAGGGTAAGAGGATAACACTAGTGCACCTGGAACGCGATTCTGTACTGGAGAGGCCTTGTTCGTCACAGCGCACTGACGCACACGGCGCAGGAGGTGTGGAGCCCCAGAGCTGCACACACGAAACATGGAGCATGGAGGCTCACTGAAGCGATCTGCCTGAAACAAACCTGACTGCCACCATTCTCAGCCTGGCTGCCCTCTGTTATTCAGGCATCCCTTCCACTGGACACCTGCCTAGTCTCCCTGGGTGTGAGTAGATGGTCCCTGGGCTGGCTGCACTTTGCGGAAGTGTGTAATTTATGAGTAGCTCATTGTTCACTTTGGAGAAGAAACGTTCTTAAGCCTCCCAGTTTCAAAACCATTTTACTTTTTACTTATGTTCTTTGCCTTTTCCTTACAAACATCTGTGCAACATCCACAAAAGCGGGTTAGGAATACGACCAGTAGAGCCTTCAGAAACACAACCAGGAAGTAAGTCACAGTGGATTACGACTAAGGATGGTTAAGTACAACACCACCACAACACCTAAACACATGTGCACACATACGTACACACAAATATGGAACCTCGTATTTGAAAGATAGCAGGTGCCAGTCAAAAGACATGTTTGACAAAAACAGAAAAATGCATACTAAAATTTAGATTAAAATAATAGGCATTAGCGGTGCACTTTCTGTTACATCCTCCTTTCTACTTAAAGAATTTGAGAGGTTTCTGGTCAAGACGGCAGAGTAGTAGGACCATGAGCTTGCCTCCTCTCACAATCACAACAAAACCACAACTGACTGCTAAACAACCATCAACAAAAAAAAGACTGGAACCTAGCAAGTTCTTATCTCCAAACCTTCCTTCTTCAACTGGAAACATAAAGAGGGAATCACAGTGGGACAATAAACAACAAGTTTCTACTGTACAGCACAGGGAACTATATTCAATATCTTGTAGTAAACTATAATGAAAAAGAATATGGAAACAAATATGTATATATATGCTGTACACTAGAAATTGACACAACATTGTAAACTGACTATACTTCAATAAAAAAGAATGTATACATACACACACACACACAAAGAATATGACAGTCGCCTATTTTTGCAAATACTTTCTTCTCACAAAGTGCACTTATTGACCAATGGAAGAGTGCATTATAATAAATCAGATAAATTTTTTATACCATTATCCAGAATGACTTTACACCCAAAGCTCAACAGCACTGAATAAGCTGGTAGAGTTAAAATAATTTATGGCAGTAAGGGAAGAGGAGAATTTGCCTTAAAATGGTCCTTTTGGGTGCAAAAAAGCAAATAATGGGAGATGCAAAAAAAAAAGCGGTGGAGCAAAAACCCTAAAGTGAGTAAAAATGGAGATCCTATTGAAGTAACTGTAGCTTTATACTTCATTTTCTACTCTGTAAAATGCCTGGGTTAGGTTCCTATCTTAGCCTGAAATTTATTTCAGAGTTTGCATGGGTATGATTCAGCTATTGCCTGTTACTCCCTAACAATCAAGACATGGTTGAGAACAAAGACAAACTACAGCTCCAATTCTAGGGAGTGTTATCCCCTGACATTCACAGTTTACACAGAGAGATACTTGAGTGAATTTCAATTTTTTTATGCTTGAAAAGGAAAGGACAGTTAATGCAATAAGGGTCATCACAATGCTCTTAACCAAAGCTGTCAGATTCTATGAATTCCCTTTAGCTAGTTGTCAAACGTTTCAGGGAAGAATCCATATTTGGTGTCTAATTAAAGAATAATGGGTAAGTAATAGCCATCAGGAATGTACTTCAGAAATGCATGCTCATAGTGCTTTCCCCTAGAGAACTTCACAAAGGCAATTTGCAAACACTAAAAATTTTTCCTCATAAGGAAGAACTGCCACATGTAATGTTGTAAATTACATGTTTTCCTCATCCTTTACAAAGTAGACCAAGCTTAAAGTGTAGGGGAGAGTAGTTTCTAAGTCACGTCACAGTCAAATATTTTCTTTTTCATCATCATTTATGAAACACATTAGTAACATAAACCTGACTGAGCCACACATCATAGTTAAGAGGAATGAGGTCCTGATTAAACACCTGGATCTCTTTAATAGCAACTTCAATATAACCATCAGGAACCACAGAGCTCTAAAATATTAAAATGGGAATGTATGATCCCAAGCAGAGCTGAACACCTCTAGTACCACTCGAGGTTTGGGGTTTGGAATTCAACAAATAGAATTTACATTCCAGCACCTGTCACTCATTAACTGAATTTATTTGGGCAAAATAAAAATTGTACCTCTCTGAACTTAGGTTTCTTGTCCTTGAAGCAGGGATAACATTACTCATTTGGCCGAGTTCACATAGGACTGTAGCAGCAGCAGCAGAAGTAGTAAAAAATACAATTTTCATTTTCTGAGGGCTTCTAGTGTGTGGTGGTTTGAAATCCACATGGTAAGGTAGGCATGCCGTTGTTTTAAACAAGGAAGCAGAGGCTGAGAGATAGGAACTTGCACAAGGCTGCGTGCATGTTACTGGCAGAATCTAAGTGTGAACACCAATGACTCTGACTCCAGAGGCCATGACCTGGTTCACATCTCAAAATGTATTCACATATGTCATCGAATGAGGTAATGCTACTGACTGCATTGCAAGCAGCAAAGCACCATGTAATGCAATGTGTTATTACAGTAATTTTTTAAAGTTGCTAAAATGTGTTTTCTGCTGAATACATATACTATTCTTAGCAAGAGCCCATCAACTCAAGAAACTAAGGAAAAAGCACGAATGAATATGTAACTTGAGACCTAAGGCAATGGAAAAATATCGGAAAGTAACTTTAAAATAGAAGTGACAGTTGGTGATGTCATTTTGTACATTTGCCCATCCACACGCATCCACACAGAATCCCAACCCACAAACATCAAGTACGTCTCAAAACGCCAATGGAAGTTGCTGGAATCGTTAAAAAGCTGGGAGATTTGCTGTGTACGGGTCATGGCTCCCCGAGCCCATACTGATGACTTGGCAGGCTGCTCACAGGAGGTTATTAGAGACATAGAACAAGCACGTTAGGCTGCAAATAGTCTGTGGCCGAGCTTCCCAGGGATAACAAAGGGCAGCACGTTAGCAAAGCTGAGAGGGTGGATATGATGCTTCAATCTCCTTAAGGGAAGCCAAAACACTGAGGGTGACCAGAGAGCTAACAAAGGCATAGCAACCATCTCTACACTGTCGTAATTATTCTAAGCCTTTGAAACAGAGGAAAGATTCCATTCACCAAGGTCAGGTAAACGGATTAAATTATTAAATATTAATTAATTAAATAAAAATTAAATAAATAATTATTAAAGGTAAATTCACGTTACTTAATTGCAAGCACGCTTTTCCCAGAAATAGTTCAGTCCTAAGTGAAATGGAAAGGCAGAAAATTTGAAGACATCTATAATTCTCTGCATTTCTGCTTTTCTGAGCTAGTCATTGCTCCTCCCAGGGTGCCCGTGCTGCTGCAGCTTATCCCATCTCAGGGAGTAAGGACCCAAACATTTGTGACCACTGTCTCCCTCCCTTTACTGTGTTGCTGTTCTTTGTTTCTTCTAGAAGAGATGAAATAAACCCCCAAGGCCAGAGTATACAGGTGTATGGATTAAACACTGGAGAATCTCAGGCAAGGCTTTCACATCACTCTCTTCCTACAAATGCTCTCACCCTCATCCTGGATGTGTGCAGTGCACAGTCTGCACAACCATACTCAGCAGCCCTATATACAAAACCCAAACCAGAACAGACATAAGGAGTTTTATCCATGCATCTGTTCATGCACTTATTCAACTCAATAAATATTTACTGCTTCCAGCACGCGCCAGACACTGGTGGATCTTGGGCAAATATTAGTAAATAATAACACAAAATCCCTGCCCTCAAGAAACTTGCAGTCTTGACAGGTCATCAATGAGTAACATGACAGAGTAGAGCATGCCAGGCCTGGGAGGTGTATATGAGTCTTGGCATCAGCAAAGGGCGAGCAGGACTTACCACGTGTGGGTTGACCTTATGTCGAAAGCACGTGATGTTCACCACATATGGCCAATCGTCAGGCTCCATCAGCACCCCGGCAGCGTGAGCACACGTGACGTGGAAGGAGGCGGGGCAGCGGCCATAGGAACACTGGATGCAGGCTCCAGAGACCTTCTTAACCCGGTGTCTGCAGAACATGCATTTCTGGAGGGTTAAGACAAAGAAGAGCATCAATTCAAATTCTGTAACTCAGCCAGTTTCCACACTTCACAGCGTAACGGCTATGAGAGATGAAGAAAACTGATGACATCTACAAGGCCGGACCTCCAGGGGCCCCAGCAGTGAGAGTGGCTGTGGCAATATAAGCTGAGTACCTTGAACACACCACTACAGTTACGTACTACCAGACATATGTTGAACTACTCATCGTGGTTAGGAAAGCCAAACCCTTTTGCACATGTGTCTGCAGGCACAGAACTGAGGAAAAGGCCACCCGGGGGGGTCCTGCAAGTCACCCATGAAAGCCAAAGCTACTTCTCTTTCACCCCGGGCATGGTAGGCCTTTCTGTACATCAAGGGATAGGCCATGGATTTGGCAGAGGGGCACACACTCCCCTAAATTAGATGAAGTGAAGTCTTCGAAAATACCCAAGTAGCACACAGATGGGCTAAGGTTTCCATTTACAAGGAAATGCAAAATGTTAAATGGTCCAATGTGGAAACTAGAGGCTCAAGTGTTTAATAATCCAAATCTGAACCCTTCATCGCTGAAACAAAAATATGCCTCCCAAAGTGAGAAAATTGAAAATCACCCCAAAGGGCATAATTTTGTTCAATCTCTATAGCTGACTCTGCCTGGAGAAGAGAAAATGGAAATAAGAAACAGCAATAATAATTACCACGATCTGAAAATTAAATTGCATACAATTAGCCCTAAACACAATCAGTACATTTGTTATGAGAGACGGGAAAAATCAAACAGCTTCACTAAATGCAAGATTTGTGAACTAATACTTATGGGTTAGGAAAAAATAGTTGTAGAACAACATAGGGTCAGGCTCAGAAAGCAGAGGAAGCAGAATGATCAAAGAGCTCAACTCTGCATTCCTAAGGATAAAATAAGTCTGCAATCTCATCAAATCCTGGTGCAAAGGCTGTTTTTATAGGTACACTTTCCTTCCTGGGACAAAAAAAGATACTTAAACTCAATGCCTTTGGAGAACAATAATATTTTATCACAGACCTGCGGGAATCAATGTGCACTAAACTTCTAACTTTTCTTTGCCCTCACATCTGATCACCAACTTCACTGTTACAGATTCTGCACCTTAATCTTGCTCTGATCTCTCCCCACCCATCTATACCAGCCACCACCTCCTGTGCCTATGGTGTCTTGCCCAGCGTAGTATGGCCTTCTAACCGGTCTTGCCACCTTTTGTTTCATGCTATTTTGATTCACCTTCCCCAGACCTGCCAGAGTGATATGATCTCTGTTCAGCATAGATCCCACGTCACCCACCCTGCTTAATGTGCTTCAATGACTTCTTATCTCCAAGACTCTCCAGGAAAAAAAAGGAACAACGTGAGATGGAAGAAGAAAGCTTATAAAAGGCCCTTCATGGTCTATCTGAGCAATTTTATTTCTCACTAGTCCCCATAAGGGCCCTACAGTCTGGGCATTTATAAGATCTCTCTGTACACCTGGATTTAATGTACAATCAAGCATTTTTAAGTTGGGGTTAAAGATGTGTGGACTAAGAATTTACAGAGAGAAGAAAAAAGGGAAAGAAAAGGAAAGAAAAAGAAAGGAAAAAGACTGGTATTCACTTTCAGGGATATCCAAGATGTACTGCTAATTTGCATATGAGTGAGTATAGTATGATAATTTTTTTTATAAAAGAGCAGATGAGATCTTATAAATGTGTATACATTTGATGAGCACTGAAAAAGTCATGGAACTTTAACATCCAACATGTATATTAATTTGAAACAACTGGGAATAAAGGGAATGAAAACAAAACAAAACAATACAAAAAAGAATTATAGAGAGAGAGCACAGTGGAGAGTGTGAGAGCCATAGAACTGAAACAAGAACCATTACAATATGAATACAACCATTATTTAACATCTTGATATCTCTTTGGCAATACTTGGTATCAGTTTCAGTACATTCTGGTAATTCTTGGTATTCTGGTATCTTTTTGTCAATTCCAACCATGTGAAATATGATGACAGATGTAACAGCAAGAACTCTTATCAGGAGCCCCAGGCATAATCAGATCATCTTTTAAGAGCCTAATTCATATTACATAAAGGTCAGTGTTTGAATAAATTCAGATGTTGACAGATGTATGAAAGAAGAAATTGTTTCCTATTTTCCTAATTAAGTATGATTAAGAGTAAGAAAGAGTATTAAAACTTAGCTAATTAATGAACTGGCGACTCCCAGCCACTTCTACCATTACCTTCCTCAAGAAACAGAAGATCTCCAGAAGAGGGAAGGAGAAGAGAGAACACACTTAAGCCCAGTGTGAATTCAATCCTTGGAATCTAGTAAGGGAAGTACCTCCATTCCCGGGAGGACAAGAGGTGGTCATTTCTAAGGATAGAACCAATATCCTTAGAAAGTCAACCTAACCTAATTGCAATTCAATTCTTTGCATGATGTTTACCCGCAGAGTTGAAAATTTCTACTTAAACATCAACTAGGTTCTTGCAGAGATACAGAACTAGGCAAAACTTAATAGGGGAACCATACCATATGCCGTAGTACAGTCTACATATTACTTCCGAACCCCAGTTTCACTTGGCCTGCTACTAAGCCAGTTATTCATCTGTGGCAAGGCAATCTGTGGCAACTTGACACCCACACTGCTGGGCTACAGAATTTAATTCAGTAGGGCAAAGACTAGGACACTTCCTAGAATGTTACAATAGAATAAATGCAATGAAAGAAGTAGAAACAAAATGCTATATGGAACTACAATGACCAGTGCAATGAGTTATGCTTGGGGACAACAGAGGGAAGAAGACTGCAAAGAAATGCAATGACTGACCAAATGAAGATGGTGAACTAAGCCCCTGCTACAAAACCCCCAGCCCCAAACCCTAAACAGACAGGAAAAAGAATGAAACCATAATGGCACTAACAAGAATGGGTGCATTAACTCCAGGGAGGAGGGCTCCAGCAAAAAAACTATCAGTAGGTATCTCAGAGAAGGTAGTTCTGGCAAGGCCAAGGCCAAGAATGGAAACAAATAACTAAAAGACAAGCAACCCACTGTCAGGCCAGTCCCAAGGATGCCCCCCATTATCATCAGCAGGTGAGGGATTCTGATCTGATCTGTATCCAGGTCCTGTGACCTGACCCATCAATCACCAACAAGGTAAGTGGATTCTCATTTGGGCTAAGAAGGGAGAAAAAGTGCACCGAAGAAGTACAACTAAAATACAATCAGATACTTAAAAAATCACAAACATTTGAGGGAAAACAATGCCATGAATAAGAGGTGCTATAATTAATAAACAGAAGAATACCTGGCCTAAGGAATCAGGTAAGTGGAAACAGAGAATGTCAGTACATATTATGATAGAGAATCCAAAATATATCCCATCAGTTTAAAAAAAAAAAACAGTAGCAACTACACAGTCAGCACTAAGAAATTTAAAATATTGTCAAAAAAATCAAGATGGAATGACTATTGGAAGATCAAATTACCAACTGGAAGGTGGAGCCCAGAGATTGTACAAAACATAGAGGAAAAGATCAAAAAGAAGGAAAATGGAACACAAACACTGAACTATGGAAAATAGATCCAGGTGTTCAGTTATCTCTCCCAAAGGCACTCTAGAGAAATAGAAAAAGGGAAAAACACAGAAATTTTCAAGACCTGAAAAAAGGTCCAGCAAATAGGGTTAATTAAAAGAAAAACAAATCACCTAAACACAACTTAGCTGCACCTTAGACCACCAAATACAGAGAAGATCCCGAAATCTTCCTGAGAAAAGAAAACCCTGATTACCATCAGATCTCTAATCTTCAACAGTGAACGCTAAAGGACAATGAAACAATGTCTTCCAATTTATGAACGAAAATTTAAGTTGGTCTATATTCAGCCTAATTATCATTCAAATGTGAGGGAAAACATAAAAGATTTCTTTTCTTTTCCACATTCAAGGATCAGAAGTATGCATGAAGAAGTGAAGAGCAACCCAATTCTAAACATGTGGATAAATCTAAATGACTATTGACTTTATAAACAATAACAGTAACGTCTTCTGGGTTTGAAACAGGGAGAGAATCTGAATGGACAGCAATAGTAGCATATAAGGAAGAAGCGGTAAAAGTGAAGTTTTAAATATTCTAGCATTCTTGAATTGTCTGGGAAAAGGGTAAAAGTACCAATTAACTAATAGTGTGGGGAAAAAACAGAATAAGGAAAAATAATAAATTCAAACAAAGACATAAAAGGAAAGAAACAGAAACACAGAACAGTTGGGAGCAAAGGAAAAAGCACATTGTAAATTGGCAGGATTAAACCCAAACACATCAGTGCGTTAAGAGTGAACAGGCTAAACTTTATCTTACGAACCAGGGGTAGCAAACTTTTTTCTTAAAGTGCCAGATAAATATTTTAGGCTTGTGTACCACACGGTGCCAGTTGCTACCACTCAGCCCTGAATTGGATAGTTGACCAGTGAACACTGTGGGGGTCCGGGGAACTGACCCACCCCACCCCACTCCGGTGCAGTCAAAAATCATGTAACTTTTGACTCCCCCAATAACTTAGCTGTTAATAGCCTACGGTTGCCCAGAAGTCTTACCAATAACAAAAACAGTCAATTAACATATATTTTGTATGTTATATGTACTATATACTCTATTCCTACAATAAAGTAAACTAGAGAACAGAAAATGTTATTAAAAATTCATAAAGAAGAGAAAATACATTTACACTACTGTACTATATTTATCCATAAGTTTATGTCATCTGTTGACAAGATGATCTCGTCAGTACCTCATATTGTCTTATGTGATATGAAACACTGTAGATGTTAAACATATTACTAACACTAGGCATTAAAAATGAAAAGATAATGTGAAAAAGAAATTCATATTTATTTACAGGTAAATGACTCATGCATTAATAATGAAGAAGCAGTAACAGGATTGCTTTCTGGTCACCTCGTGTATTAGACGGCACCATGTATGGTCTGTGTTCGTGTGCTAACTTTTGATAAATTTTAACTTTTTATCGTAGATTTGTGTATATTTTATGGTAGTAAAAGATAAAATAGACCAGTATCTACATACAATTTATGCATTTATGACATACCTAACTTTTGGTTACTTTTTTTTCATATTTCTAGACCACACGGTTTATCTGCAGGTTTTTTCAAATTGCCACAAATCTCCAAAAAATTTTCCAATATATTTATTGAAAAAAATCCATGGATAAATGGGTCCACGCAGTTCAAAGCCATGTTGTTCAAGGGTCAACTGTAGTGCAAAAGCAGTCATAGACAACCCACAAATGGTCGGTGTGGCTGTGTTCCAATAAAACTTTCTTTACAACAACAAGCACGTGCCCTAGTGTGCTGACCCCTGGCAATAGGCCACGGGCACATATTTGAAGTCAGTAAGCTGTGAAATGATAGAATTAGTATTTAAGAAAGATCACTCGAGCAGCAAGGTGGATTAAGAACAGACTGGAGGGAAAATAAACTGTTACAAAGCCTGGAAATACTGAGGTAAAGGATGATGAGGACTTGGACTATTATAGGAGGAAGGTAACCATTCAGTGTTTTTCACTCTTGCTACCCTTTGTGGACAGAAATTCTGTATCTTCCTTTAAATGGAGCTACTCACTCAAGGTCAGGGCTGGACAGTCCCTCTTCTGTAGGAAAGAACCTCTCTAGCCGCTGGCTAAGCCTTAAAATAGATGAGGGTTGGGGTGCCATCATTTTCTAGAGGGATGGGGATGTAAGGAAGCTTGTGGACTGTAAGATGGGTGGGCACTTAAACGTACAGAAGGATCAGAAAGACAGGGCCATTCTTCATGCGGTCCACTGTTTGAGGTGCCAGTCACCCACTGGGAAAGGGATAAGGAGCCAGTTGATGGAAGACAATTAAATAAAGAAGTTTGAAGAGTCAAATGAGCAGCTCCGAGAACCATTACTTCGGGTGCTTTAGAACAAAGTCAAGGAGGCACTGATGTAGACAGACCAACGCAGCACAGCAGGAAAATGCTGACACAGATGCCACTGGAGAGTGACTTTAAGGTGTCGTTCACCTCAGTGGTTTTCTAGTAAGGATGCCTGGGACACAATGGCTGCTCGATGTTTGCTCAATTAAACTGAATCCAAGCAAGAATATTTTGGTCAAGTTACAGACCTGCTCATCTGCTTCCTCAACAGTGAAACAAGACTCCTCATTATATAGCTGTAACACCAGAGATGTCAGAGGACAGCGGGATCACTGAGAGGCCTGCTTAAAACACAGATTGCTGGCCCCACCCCCAGCGTTTCAGTACGTCTGGGCTGGGCATTGAATTTGCTTTCCTGACAAGCTCCCAGTGATACTGATGCTGCTGACCCAGGGATCACACTTTGAGAACGACTTAGTTGGAGGGTTAAAGGGTGTCAGTTATTTTGAGACCCTCTAGTATAAGGGAATGCAGGAAGTACAACGTTTTTTCACCTATTCTTCTGTGTTAAGGGCTGAGAGAATTCTCAGGAGAGTATGATTGATAGAGCCTGTACTTTCTTGGGGGACTGGATTTCCATACTCATTCCAATAGCGTAGGCCATTAAGGCTCCTAATGGATTGAGGAATTAATGAAGTATCTGGCAATGAGGCTTTGTGTATCATTAGATTCCTTGAGCACACAGCTTGGCAAAGGGCATCAGGAAATGATGAGCTGTGAAGGAGTTAGAGGTTCAAAGCACATCCTCTTCCCTCTTCCCTTCTTTTTTTTTTTATTGATATGATTTGTAGTGTGATTTTATTGTCGTTTTGCCAGTTCTGTGATTCTTTTTGCTTCCATAAATAAGCAGGAAATTTCAAAACAGGCACATATGCTTTTTATTTTAACTAGTATTTCCCTATCAGACAAGCAACAAGTTGATAGTATTTAATTCCTTTTTCCTTGGACTCTCCAAAGACACTTTTTCCAGGTACTCCACAGCAAGCTAACGATTCCAGCTCAAACAGGGAATAATATTGAACTCAATGGATATCATTATTGTTGCAAGCAAGTCAGAGGACTAAGTCTGAGACTTTCACTTTGCACCACATCTTTAAATATAGGTTTTAAAACAGAAGCTTTGAAAAAAAAAAGTCTACCTGTAAAATTTATATTCTGCTCATTAGTATTCATTGAGTCAATCACTCATGTGCACAAGCGCCGGCCAGCACTGGGGGAACACTCTATGATGAAGTCTAAGTTCTACAGCGAGGAGCTTACAATCCAGGGGAAGAAATGGACACGTAAACAACTTCGGCAGAAGGAAAAGCAGATTCAAGAGCTGTCGTAAGAGAGCAAGATTCAGAAGGTAAGAGAGAGGAGGAGTTTGATCCCAAGAGAAATCAGTTTACCCAAAGAGCTAAGAGTGGCTGGGCTGGTGTAGCGGGGTCGGGAGACACGATGAAAACCAAGGTCCACAGTGGACTGGCACCACAGAGTGGGGACTGCTGCTGTGAGGGGCAGCAATGAACATGCAGTCTCACACCACTCGAGCCAGACAGAACTGTTCTGATCTCTGGGGTCTAACGACGTTACAAATGGCAGACACCACGAAGTGATACAGTAGAACTCAATTCTGAACATGCCTGCATCAGCTCGTAACATGGCGAGTCCTCTGACTCTCCACACCCCCGTCAGGAACAGTTATTTCTACTCTTCAAGTTCAGAGCATTACAATAAATGGCTCATGATGTCAAGTGTGTTGAATTGAATCCTTATTTATGACATGCATCAGAAGCCATTTATCTCATTGCTTTTTGTTTGGTGAGATTCACCCTGCAGAAGGTGAGAAGCTAAGAAAAAGTCAAGCAGCAGGCTAAAGATGAAAGGGCAGAAGGAATGAGCTCAGCCAGGCCAAGAGACGGAGTACAGAAGCAGACAGAGGTGGGGGGGGGAGATCACACGGAAGGCTGCACATATTGAAAACAAGTAAGGGAGGCATTGTTGGCCCTGAGAAATATTAAATAAGAATCACAAAAGAATTCTAAACTGGAAAGGCCATAGCAATTCAGACACAAACTGACAAATTAATAAATGACTCCTGAAAAGTACTATGTCAACAGCCCGGTCACACTTTTTAAAAAATTTAGATCAGAAGAAGCACCAAAGGGAAGATCTCAAAACAGGAATGCTCTGGAAGCACCTTTTAATCCCAGTACCAGAACACTGACTGCACACAGTAGGTGCTCAATAAATATCCAGTGACTAAATGAAAGATTGTTTCCTTAATACATATACTGCATCAATTCATTCTTCAGCTATTTTAAGCTAATACTTGCTATATAAAAGGCAAAAACGCAAAAGGAGATTAAAAAATGAAGAAGACACCATCCACACATTCAAGAAGCATAATTTGGCATACAAAAATAGCTGTAACAAAAGCTTCGCCATGGTGATGGTAAGACAAATGCTACTGGATTTTGAAGGAGACAGGGCTGGACTCGCAGAACAAAGGTGAGGCCGGCAGGTATGCCTCAGCCGGTTACCTACATCCAGCCTGGCTCTTTCACCATTCTTCTACCGAGAAAGAGAGGCAAGAGAGGATGAACTTCATGACAGCTGCCCAAGGGACAGCAAATACGGGACAAGGAAGTAGGTACGATTCCACTTGGATGGCTCAGGTGAGGTGGCAGAATTGCTTACGCAGGTGAGCTGTGCACCACTCTGAACTGAAGGCCACGAGTCACCATATCCAGGCATTCTTGGGTCAGTTCCACAGGCTGGCTCCCAGGAACCCAAAGTAGAGTAAAAATGGGGTTTCTCTAATGTCTCAAGTTTCCTGTAATTAATTTCTTGATGTTGAGAGGCTACATGCAATGCTTCTGCACCTGATCAGACACTGCGTTGGAGAGCACTGGGGACATGCTGCACGCTGCTAGAGCCTGTGGGGACATAGGGTCCACCATGTTGCTTGAAGAAGTTGCCCAGCAGGTTTCGAGGA